ACAGTACGAGCGCCGGCGGGGCGCGCAGCAGCAGTACCCTCTGCAGTCGAAGAACCACCAGCACCAGCAGCACGCCTCCAGCGCCCGGCAAACCACTCACGCAGCTCCTGTGGGGAGAGTGGCTCCCGGCGAGACGAAGCACCCCCAGGCACAGCACCTCCAGGCTCAGCACCCCTAGACACAGCACCCCCAGGCACGGCACCCCCAGGCTCAGCACCCCCAGGCTCAGCACCCCCAGGCACAGCACCCCCAGACTCGGCACCTCCAGGCTCAGCACCCCCAGGCACAGCACCCCCAGGCTCAGCACCCCCAGGCTCAGCACCCCCAGACTCGGCACCTCCAGGCTCAGCACCCCCAGACTCCGCACCCCCAGGCTCAGCTCCCGCAGCAGCACCAGAGTCACCAGTGACCTCGACAGGCTCGACCGCGTCTACCTGGGACACACCTGAAGGGGCAGGACCCTGAGGGGGGAGGGGGACTACTGGGGGGGGACCTGGTACCAAGAAGAGCGGGGGTGGGGGGAGGGACGGAGTGCGGTAGGGGAAGAGGCGGTAGTAGGGTACCGACTCGTCGAACGTGACGTCCTGGGAGGACAGAACACGTCGAGAGGTGGGGTGGTAGAACTGCCACCCAGGGGCGTCGGGGGGGAACCCCAGGAAGACGCAGGGAGAAGCACGAGGGGACAGCTTGTCCGCAGACAGGTCGCGAACAAACGCCCGAGATCCCCAGACCCGGAACGCCGACGCATCGCCAACCTTCCCCGTCCACAGCAGGGCTGGGGAGGTCTCCGGTCGAGAGACCCTGGGGTGGAGGTTGATCTGGTGCGCAGCGTACCTGACCGCAAACGGCCACAGAAAATGGGGAGCAGCCGCATGCATCATGGACGTACGAGCGACGTCCATGACCATGCCAATGCGGCGCTCAGCAATCCCATTCTGCTGCGGTGAGTCCGGAAGCGTGAAGGTCTGACGGATGCCTCGCGCACGACAGTAGGCACTCAGGAGGCCAGAGGAGAACTCTCCGCCTCTGTCCGAGTGCAGACGCAAAACAGGGAAGTCAGAGCCAAAGCTCCTCCGAAGCTGGAGACGAGCTGCGCGGATCCAGTCGATCAACACCGCAGTGACCTCACCCTTGCTGCGCAAGGGGAAGACTGTGGTGTAACGCGAGTAGTCGTCAACCACCAGCAGGAAGTAGCGCTCCTGACCCTGTCCACGGACGCGGGCTGGGCCCCACACATCCATGTGAAGCGTTTGCAACGGGGCCTCTGTCGGAGGAAACTGGGAGGAGTGAGGGGCAGCACGCTGGCGCCCCTCGACACAGGGGACACAGGTGGGGCCAGGGCCCGGAGGGAGGGGAGGGAGAGACCGGGGAAGACCAGACACAAGGACTCGCGAGGCCATGCCTCTGAGCCGAAGCAAAGAGGGGTGGCCAAGGCGGTGGTGCCAGAGGAGGGTCTCGTGAGACAGACGACGGCACGAGCAGGGGGCAGACTCAGGACCAGACCTGGACGCTGCAGCAAACACCTGACCAGACGAAGTGACCCTACCAGACTCAGCACCTGGAGGAGAAGCAGTGGTCAGAGTGTACAGGCTCGACCCTGGCCGACGTGTAAACGTAGCCAGGTGGCGACCTGTATCCGCCTCCGTGCAGTGGGTCACCCGCTGACGAGCAGGGGTGAACTGGTGGACACCCGCATCCTGGAGGTCAGCACCACTCACCAAGTTCGTCGAGAACGAGGGGAGGTAAAGACCAGTCAGGGTGCCAGAGGGGGCCGCCGGACACGGGAGGACAGTGGAGAAGCGAGACAGGACAGGCCCCCCAGAGGGGTCAGCCAGGGACACCGCAACCGGCCGACTCAGCGGCGTGAGAGTGGTGCGGTCCCGAAAGAAGGAGCGAGACGCTCCAGAGTCAAGGGTGAAGGTGTGAGAGGCCGAAGCCGACACAGTACCTGAGAGGGCAGACTCACCAGCACCTGAGAGCACAGACGCACTGGCACCTAGAGCAGCAGCCTCACTAGTACCTGACGCGGCAGTACCAATGCCCGGGTCGGGCGGGAAACACCGGTAACAGTCATCCTCATCACTACCAATCGCAGCATACATAGCAGAGAGAATAGCATCAAAATCAAGATCATAAATAGCTACACCAGCCCTAGACAGCTCTCCCCAGCGGGGGATCTCAGCTGCCTCCGGAAACTGCTGACGCCAGGCGTCAGTCAGGCGGCCAAAGCAGCGGCGGGCAGTGTGGGCGCCTCCACACCTCTCCCCTGCACGGTCACCGGTGCGGAGAACGTAGGGGCAAGGACCAAGCGCACCACCACGCTGACGCTGCGAGTACCACTCACGGAGCTGCTGAGGGGCGGGGACGGTGCGAGAGTGCTGCTGCTGCTGTGGCTGCTGCTGCGGCTGCTGCTGCTGCTGCTGCTGGCGCTGACCACCCCCGGAGCTGCTCCGCTGGGACGAGCCACTCCGACCCCCGCCTCCACTGCCACCCCCGCCTCCACCGCCACCCCCGTCTCCACCTCCACCTCCCCCACCAGGACCGTCGCTCCCACCGCTCCCACCGCCTCCTCCGCTACCACCTCCGCCGCCACCTCCGCCTCCACCGCCGCCACCAGTACCTCCACTTTCGCCACCACCCCCACCGCCACCCCCACTCCCCCCGCCACCCCCACCGCCTCCTCCACCGCCCCCTCTAGCTCCACCCGCTCCCTTGCCCCCCTTGCCCTTGCGAGCGCGGCGTCTGCCGCTGGGGGCAGACGCCGCGCCGACCGACTCAAAACCAGTGAGGTCGGCCGCAGCGGCAGAGGCGACAGAGGGCAGCAGGGGGGAAGGACCACACCCCTCAAAGATGGGGGTGCGAGGGTCACCCCGAGAGGCCCCTACAGCGACAATACTCTTCTCAGCCGCTAGCAGGGACTCCTCAAGGAGGTCGACAGTGAGAGTGGTGGGACAGACAGAGAGAAACTGGTCCCTAACGACACGAAGGGACTCAGGGAGACGGGTGACGAGAAAGTAGAGAGTGATGTACATGGGAGGAGGGTTCGCAGCGCGGAACTCAGCAGGAAGGGCAGCGCGGTAGCGGGTGTCACTAGCACGGAGGTGGGTAACGAGGTCAGCGACAGTGGGAAAGGAAGCGAGGTCAGGGAAGAGAAACGGTAGCATGAGGCGGCTAAGGGTAGCGGAGGAAGGGGAGGAGTAGCGTGCAACTACAGCGTCGTACAAGGCCTGAGCGGTCTTGCACTGACTAAAGTGGGCACGCTCAGAGGAAGGGAGGTGGCGACGCACAGCAAGACGTGCAGCAGCATCGCGGGTCGCCCACTTGGAGCGAACGGCAGAGTCAGCATCAGCAGGTGGGGCAGGGACAGCGCCAGAGACAAAGTCAAAGAGAGAGACCTCATCTATCGCATCACACAGTAAGTACAGCTGCAGGTCTTCAATCCAGACGGCAAAGTCAATGGCCCTCCCCTCAGCGTCAAAGGTAAGAACATTGGGGGTGGCCATGACAGCAGCTGAAAATCTCACCGGGCTGGGAGAGGCGGGTAGGTCAGCAGCAGAGGAACAGCAGAACGGCTCCGCAGGCGGCTCGGGCGGCGCGGGCGGCTCGGGCGGCACGGGCGGCTCGGCGGCGGCTCGGGCGGCGGCTCGGTGGCGGCTCGGCGGCGACTCGGCGGCGGCTCGGCGGCGGCTCAGGCGGCGGCGGCTCGGCGGCGGCTCGGCTGCTGCTGGGCGGCGCGGGCGGCTCGGGCGTCACGGGCGGCTCGGCGGCGGCTCGGGCGGCACGGGCGGCTCGGCGGCGGCTCGGGCGGCGGCTCGGCGGCGGCTCGGCGGCAGCTCGGCGGCGGCTCGGCGGCGGCTCGGCGGCGGCTCGGCGGCGGCTCGGCGGTGGCTCAGGCGGCGGCGGCTGCTGCTGGGCGGATCGGCGGGGCCGCGTAGCAGAGTGGCGGCGGGGCCGCGACCGAAGAGAGCGGCGGGGCCGCGTAGCAGAGGGCGGCGGGGCCGCGTAGCAGAGGGCGGCGGGGCCGCGTAGCAGAGGGCGGCGGGGCCGCTACCGAAGAGAGCGGCGGGGCCGCGTAGCAGGGGGCGGCGGGGCCGCGTAGCAGAGGGCGGCGGGGCCGCGTAGCAGAGGGCGGCGGGGCCGCGATCGAAGGGCGGCGGGGCCGCGTAGCAGAGAGCGGCGGGGCCGCGTAGCAGAGAGCGGCGGGGCCGCGTAGCAGAGGGCGGCGGGGCCGCGTGGCAAAGGGCGGCGGGGCCGCGATCGAAGGGCGGCGGGGCCGCGTAGCAGAGGGCGGCGGGGCCGCGTAGCAGAGGGCGGCGGGGCCGCGTAGCAGAGGGCGGCGGGGCCGCGAGGCAGAGGGCGGCGGGGCCGCGTGGGGAAGGGCGGCGCAACGGTCCGCTAGGGGCGACACGACGGGTCGCTAAAAAAAAAAAAAACGCGCCTCGGGGCGCGGTTCGGTGGGCCCTAGAAGCAGTCCCTAGGAGGGAACCTGCTCTGATTCCATGTGGAAACAAAGAACGAGAATGAAATGACTATGAACGAAGTGAGTACAAATAGGAAACCCTAATTGGGTTGTACCCCCTATGGGATACCCCACTATAGCCTACAGAAACAAGTAAGCTATATGTTCTGACACGCCACACTCCCGAGCCTCGTTTTCCCGAGGTCCACACCTAGCTAGGGTTTCCCTATCTCATCCCGTCATGTCAATTGTATCGTCACTCTGTTTGTAATCGCACTCGATATTCACTGATTCCGCGCACTATCCGCAATCATAAGCCCTCTTGTAGGGAGAATAGCTTCACACTCATGGCGAGCACAGCAGGGGATCGCGAACGACATGAGGAAAAGGCTGGCAGCCCGTTCTTTCGAATGAAGAACCAGCGACTAGGTTAGTAGTTACGATAGACTAGGGCGAGTTTCGTTGGGAAGTATGGTTGGTGTGCGCTGGTCCAGTCACGGTGGCAGTGGCGTCGCGCGATGCACGCCAGTGCTCGCCTCGCATGGCGTGCGACCACCGCCCTTCCGCCAGGGGCGCCTGCAGCCGCGTGGGCGGCAGCGAAGCGGCAGGTGAGGTGGACGATGCGCGCATACACGCACGAGCATCGTTGGCGGCCGCCGCCACTGGTGGAGGGATGCGTGGGAATGCGGTGGTACGGCGTGATGCGAGGTGGATGGGCCATCCCCGCGTGCAAACACCCTCACCCGATCACCCCCCGGCTCCTATCACCGCCCGGCTCCTATCACCGCCCGGCTCCTATTACCGCCCGGCTCCTATCACCGCCCGGCTCCTATCACCGCCCGGCTCCTATCACCCCTACCTACCTCGCCACCGCGCGTATCGTCGCGCCGCTGCCCGTCTGCCCGCCGTGACACGCTCCCGCGGGCCGCCAGTCGTGCTGCGCAACGCCATTCGCATCGGGACCGTCCGCCGAGCGCAACTTTGCACAGCCAGTGCGCCCATCGGAGTCACCTCACATCGCGCCGTAGCAGCAGCGCGAGCGCGAGAGCGTGGCGTGAAGTCAATATCGCCTCCCCCCCCCTCCCCCTCCTCTTCCTCCCCGCCAACGCTCATGCAGCAACTCCTCACGCCCTCCCCCTCGCTCCCCTCCTCACGCCCTCCCCCTCGCTCCCCTCCTCACGCCCTCCCCCTAACTCCCTCCTCACGCTCCCCTCCTCACGCTCATGCATGCCATGCTCACAGGGGCGAGAGTAGGGGCGGGGAGAATAGGGACGAGGAGAGTTGGGACGGGGAGAGTAGGGACGGGGAGAGTAGGGACGGGGAAGGTAGGGACGGGGAGAGTAGGGACGGGGGGAGTAGGGACGGGGGGAGTAGGGACGGGAAGGGGAGAGTAGGGATTGGGAGAGTAGGCACGTGGAGAGTAGGAACGGGGAGAATAGGCACGGGGAGAGTAGGCATGGGGAGAGTAGGGACGGGGAGAGTAGGGACGGGTAGAGTAGGGACGGGGAGAGTAGGCACGGGGAGAGTAGGCACGGGGTGAGTAGGCACGGGGAGAGTAGGCACGGGGTGAGTAGGCACGGGGTGAGTTGGGACGGGGAGAGTTGGGATTGAGAGAGAAGGGATAGGGCGATTAGGGAGGGGGGAAGTGGGGAAATGTAGGGGATTTCCCACTTTCACCTTGAGATTGTGAATCGTGTTAAACTCATCCCCTCTCCCCGTCGTCTCCCCCCTTACTCCCAATTCATCCTTGGCCGTCCATTGGCACGCAGGTGTTGCAGATTCAGATCTTCTCGCTCACAGGTTCTCGCCCGAGAACCAATCGGTACGCCCAGCATCAATGCCTTTTTGGACAGAATTAGGGGATTTCTTGAAACTCATTGAATGAATGAATCTGAACGACTCACTTGTGTTTCAATGGTGGTCCTGATTGTGTTGCACATGATTTGACAAATTGACACAGACATGCACAGATTGTGTTTCACAAATTACCTCCCTCCGTTCTCCTATTCCGCAAGTTTCTCGTTCTCCATTTGAGGGCTCCAGGCTGGTGAAACCAGTGGTCACCTCTAGTGAGGAGTTTTGCAAGTGGTGGGGGTGAGTGAGGGGTAGTGGTGGGGGTGAGTGAGGGGCAGTGGTTGGTGGGGGCGAGGGGCAGTGGTGGGGGCGAGGGGCAGTGGTGGGGTTGACGCACACAGGTGGGCGTGAGATGCTGCAGTGGGTGTGAGGCGCAGTTGGAGGGGGGTGAGACGAGGCGCAGTGGTGGGGGGTCAAAATTCCACAGGCTCTTTTCTGCTATGCTCTGCCTGCCTGCCATTGTATGGAGCTTGTTGGCAACTTGTTGTTTAGTCGTTCACAAGCACCGTCCGTGAGAGCGTCTGAGTGTGCGAGGGCATCATAAGATTGATGTTGTTCATGGAATTGTGAAAGAGAGGAGTTAGACATGGTGGTGGTTAGGGTAGATCATGAATGTGTGCATCATAAGATTGATGTTGCTCATGGGCGAGATGTGTTGAGACTGCAACATTTGAGATGTGTTGAGACTGCAACATTTGAGATGTGTTGAGACTGCAACATTTGAGATGCGTTGAGACTGCAACATTTGAGATGCGTTGAGACTGCAACATTTGAGATGCGTTGAGACTGCAACATTTGAGATGCCTTGAGACTGCAACATTTGAGATGCGTTGAGACTGCAACATTTGAGATGTGTTGAGACTGCAACATTTGAGATGCGTTGAGACTGCAACATTTGAGATGCGTTGAGACTGCAACATTTGAGATGCGTTGAGACTGCAACATTTGAGATGCGTTGAGACTGCAACATTTGAGATGCGTTGAGACTGCAACATTTGAGATGCGTTGAGACTGCAACATTTGAGATGCGTTGAGACTGCAACATTTGAGATGCGTTGAGACTGCAACATTTGAGATGCGTTGAGACTGCAACATTTGAGATGTGTTGAGACTGCAACATTTGAGATGTGTTGAGACTGCAACATTTGAGATGTGTTGAGACTGCAACAGCCTCAACTTGCAATGCGTGGTGCTTGTTACTCCTGCTGGGACTGAATCCCTCTCTTGCACCAATACTCACCCATGCCTGAACAATGGCGCTGCTGGCGCTACTTTGCTGAGCAAGGCTTTCCAGTGTTTCTGCCATCATGAGCAATACGCCCTGACCTTCGTTCCTCTCTCCCGTGCACTTTCACACACCAACAGCATCCTTCCCTGGACTAGTCGTGAGCCGCCCAGCATACCACTGCAAGACACAGCCGTCCAGCACGGCAGAGCCACGAGCAGCAGCAGCAGAAGGGGTGGCGGTGAAGTCAGTCAGCGGCAAGTGGGTGGAAGTGAGCGGGAGAGGCATGGAAGGCCGGCGCGGCAGCAGAAGAGGGAGGGGTATGAAGGAGGGAAGAGTGAAAGCGGTGGATGCAACCTTTCGACCATGGGCGTTACCTGCATGCTGCTTCTTGCATGTTGGTCTCCAATGATGTATGAAGAGAAGCGAGCAAGGATATGGCATCATGGCATGCCATGACTGAAGGTTTGTATGCCGATGTTGCTCTTTCTGCAGGAAAGAGTGACACAACTAGTTGATGCATGTGACTTCAATAACATGTTTCACCATCACCATCATCACACCCATTGATTAACTCTACTGCAGTTTCTCCACATCCATCCAACCCTCTCCCTCGCTACCCCCCTGCCATCGCTCTTTTTATGCTCCCATGCAAACTGTTCTCCTACATCCGTCCCCTCTCTTTTTTTGATACTCCTCTCCTCATTGCCCCTCCCCAGAAGGTGACCACCTCCCTGGGTGCTGTATGAGATCATGAGTAGCGTGCAACCATTCTCTTCCCCCAACTTTCCCCCCAACATCCCCCCCTCTCCCCCTATTTTCCCCGCATTCTTTGCCCCCCACCCCCCCTTAGTGCCCTGTCCTTTACCCTTCTCAACGTTCAACCCACGCATAAACACATCGTGTTCCTCATCCTCATCCCACCGTTCTCTTCCGATCTGCTCCCCCACCAATTTACCCAAGCAGCAGCACCGTAGTCAACTCGCCTCAGGCAGCACCTCTCACTGCCATCCACATCACCTGCATAAGGCTATGAATTAATGCCTCAAGTCGTACCCTCTTTCTCCATACCGCCGTACCCCCTCCTCCTCTTGCTCCATCATTCACTCCTCTGCACCTCGATAGTTTGCTCTGCAAACGTCTTTTGAAATCTTGATCTCCACCTACCCGTTCCCACCACCCCTTCCTCCGTCCTCATCATGTCTCCCCCTTAGGTGCTTTCTATTCCATATATCCAACCTTGTGTCCGATCTCATTGCTTGACATGCTGCTACATTTACAATCCCCCCCTTCGCCCGCTGTAGCAGCATCCGAAGTGGTGGCGTCAGAGGTAAGTGGCAAGGGCAGACGGTGGAGGCACTTGCATAGCACCATGTCTTTCACCCACCCCACTCCCACCTGCCCCATCAGAGCCCTTCACGTCTGCTGCTGCTGCAGCAGCTGCCACTTTCAGACCCTGTACGCCTGCAGCAGCATCAGAAGTGGTGGTGTGAGTGGCTTGGATTGAGGAAGGAGTGACCTTGGGGTTAGACAAGCACCTTATTGGGCAGCAAGCATCACGTCATGCTCAAAAGAAGGGGTTGAAGTATTTCCATCTCAAACAGAATGGTCACTCAAGCTACACCCCCCCCCCCCCCCCTCCCCAGTTCGCAACAACTCTAAAATGCATGCCAACCTTTGCCCCCCCATTGTCTCTCACTGACCCCTTTTCTTTCATCCCCTTATCAGCTACTGATTGCAGGAGCAGGGAGTGGGCATGGGTTATGGAGTGTGGGAGATTGGGAGTATAAGAGCATGTGAGTATGGGAGAATGAGAGCAGGAAGCAGATGCCTGCCATTTTCTCATGCCTTCCCTTCACTCACTCTCAGCATTATTCTTCCACCAACCCCTCATCCCACCAACTTCTCCACCCGAGCCTTTCACATCTGCCCCTGCAGCAGCAGCAGCAGCCGCATACATACTCCCTACTGCTGTTGCAGCAACATCACCAGTCGTGGCGTCAGTGGCATGGGGGAAGGACATACCGTGGGGGTGGACTACAGGGTGTGGGGAACAGAATGAGCAGAAGCAGTAGCAGCGTGGGCGGCAGTTGATTTGAATGATCCTATGCAGGCCTCCCTGACACCATCGCTCCTCGCTCCCATGAGCCCCCAACACATGCTGCTGCTGCAGCAGTGGCGGTGGTGGTGGCAAGAGAGGCACAACTTGGGCGCGGGGGAGAGTAGAGTCAAGGCAACCTCCATTGCTTCTCATCTGCTACTGCTGCTGTTCCCCCAACAGACGTGGTTGGCAGCTAACTGGCATGCCAGCTTCTTGAAGAGTTGTCGCAGTAGCAGCACCTGGGTGTGAATCTGGGTAACAACGTGGCGATTGGAACTGACCTGCGGCGCCAAAGGAGGTGACGAAACTCTGGCAAAGGAGGTGACGAAACTCTGGCAAAGGAGGTGACGAAACTCTGGCAAAGGAGGTGACGAAACTCTGGCAAAGGAGGTGACGAAACTCTGGCAAAGGTGAGCATGTTAGCTGTGATGGACGTTACAGTTGTCTGCTTGTCGCAAATGAGGATTGCAAGCATGCAGAACTTGCTTCCTTTCGTGCACAGTTCTTCTGTAACGGATCTTGTTACACATCCTTTCAGGAAGGGGTACTCTTTGTTTCTTTGAACCTTCACCGCACTGCACCATTCTGAAGCGAACCGAAATACGGAAAACCTTTCACTACCCATCTCAGATATGCAACACAACTGCAACGAATCGCACTGAACTGCCATAATAGGACTGGAAGACCCAGCCTCATCATTCGTGATTGCTTTCCTTGCTGAATGTGAAGAATGTGACAAAAAAATGAATTCCTCAACACTTATTCCTCCAGTCATGTTACTCCAGAGCCCAGAGCACTGAGTGAAGCGCGGTCGCACGCAACAACTAGGTTCGCACGCAACAACTAGGTTCGCACGCAACAACTAGGTTCGCACGCAATAACTAGGTTTTTGTTGGCGAATCCGTAAGTGACTTCAGTCCGACGACGCCACCCCTGCCTCCCATCATACACAATATGTGCCACCCCTGCCTCTCCTTCCCCCCACGCATTGCCCCCTTCGCCTTTGCCCTCCTCCGAGGTACGCCCGCCCACCAGGTGGTCACTCCAAAACTGAACTCGCTGCTGGCTGCCTGCTGGTCCATCCATACCCTCTTCCTCACCTCCATGGGTCCCATCCCCTTAGAGCGTGAGATATAGTACGTTGCAGAGCGGTGACGGTTCCCACCTTCTCAACTTTCGCAGAATGTTCCCATGCCACCCTCTCACCTCACAGTCCTCCCCACCCTCTCACCTCACAGTCCTCCCCACCCTCTCACCTCACAGTCCTCCCCACCCTCTCACCTCACAGTCCTCCCCACCCCCTCACCTCATAGTCCCCACCCTCTCACCTCAATGTGCCACCCTCTCACCTCAACGTGCCACCCCCTCACCTCACAGTCCCCACCTTCTCACCTCAACGTGCCACCCTCTCACCTCGCAGCCCTCCCAACCCGCTCACCTAGCAGTCCCCTCCCTCCCCCTTTCCCACTCCTGTCTTCCCCTCAATCCCCTTGCGACGCATGGGAGCAGAGAGCAACGAGGCAGCGGCACGTGCTAACCAGGCTAAAGGAGGTGGGGCAAGCAGTGTAGGACTGAAGAAGATTCCCCACACTCCCTCCCCATCCCCCTCCCACTTGAATCCCCCATGCACCAGCATCAAGGATGTGGGGCAGTTTGTGTGGGGCTGAAGGAGAACAATCCTCTCCCTTCCCTCTCCCATTCCCCTCCCACTGAACCCCTCATTTACAAGGAACGATGTGGCGCAGGGTGCTAGCGGGGCTGAAGGATGTGGGGCACGCAGTGAAAGAAATTTCCCGTCTTCTCTTTTCCACCCAGTCTCCCACTGAAGATTCCTCCTCGGCCCTCCCTGGCCGCCCTGCGCAGGGAGCCATGCGGCGCCGTGTGCTTCCAGAGCTGAAGGGTGTGGGAGAAGTGGTGCGGGGCTGAATGTGCCTCTGCCATGTCCCCTCCCCCACCTCCTTTTACTTAACCACCCCATGCACAGGAGCAATGAGGCGCCGTGCGATAGCAGGGCTGAAGGAGGTGGGGGCAGGCAATGCAAGGCTGAAGGCTGATTTTTTTTTTTAACTCCTCCACCCTCTCACTCCCACCACCGCCTCTGCCATGCAGTATAAAGATTCAGTAGGGACAAAACGAGGTTCAGTCATCTAGGCTGGAATCAAGACTCGCTACGGTCCCTCTACCGCCCTCTCACTCCCACTACCCTCTCATTCCCACTGCCTTCTCCCTCCCACAACTGTCTCTGCCATGCTAGAAATGAAGCCTGGTGGGGCAGAAAGAGATCCACCAGGAGGACTGCAGCCAAGACTCGCTACAGTCAAAGGCGGAGTCACGCGGGGGAGAATGCCAACAACCTCTCAGAATGAGAGAAGTGTTTGCACTAGGAAATGGTTGGGTACAAGTGGGAAACTCTAAACGTATTGTACCTCATAGTAACTACCCCACTACAGCCTAAACAAACTATAGCAGATATAATATTTGACACACCCCCATAGGCAAATTGGGGGAGAGCAAAGGCGTCACAAGACCAGTCCAGAAAGGCAAAGCAAGCTCAGGGTGGATCACAACAACACCACACTCACTGAGCACAAGCAAACGGCCACAAGGCCAGTTCACATGTAGAGGCATATATGTAACACAAGCATCACAGTGATCTCCACATAGCAACACAAGCATGCAGGTATATATATATAATGTATATCACAGTACAAATAAAGCCTACAGCAAGTGAGGAAAAGTGGGCACAAGCCCTAGCACAGTGCAAAAACGCTGATGATCACCAGACTGAAATGCCTTGGTGAATATAACAGCAGTGTTGGCCCGAGTGGCCACGTAACGCAGACGAAGCTGACCACGCTGCTGCAACTCTCGAGCCAGGAAGTAATGCAGAGCGATGTGCTTTGTTCTGTGCTCCAGTCTGTGCTCCTCACACAAGACAATGGCAGCCTTGTTGTCGACGTACAACACTGGAGGAGAACGAGGCTGCTCTCCCAAGTCGGTCAGCAGGTAGGTGAGCCAGCGTAACTCCTGTGCAGCTATGGCTGTCGCGTAGATCTCAACCTCACAACTGGAGCTAAGAACTGAAGACGACCGTGTAGAACGCCAAGAAACTGAACTAGAGCCAAGACTGAATGTGTAACCCTGTGACGGCCGCTGCGTAGCCTAGTCGTCAACCTAAGAAACATATGAGTGCCCAGTGAGGAAAACTGAGCTCCTCCCTCCAAGCACGAGCCCCATGCCTCATGTACTGCACAAATAGTGGAGTAACCTCTTAGCAGCATCCCAGTGCACCTTCCGGTGCCGACTAGGAGCCACGTAGCGAGCCAGAAGGCCAAGAGAGTACGCAAGGTCAGGACGAGTGCAATTCATCAGGTACATGAGGCAGCCAACTAGCTCTACGTAAGGACCACTCGGCTCTACGGACTCGTCCGAAGGTGGAGCTGAGAGCGAATGACCTGTAGCCAGAGGAGTGGCCTGTGCTGAGGACCAGGTGAAGCCGAAGCGCTGAAGGACCTGCTGAACCATGTGTGACTGAGTCAGTGTGATGGTGTGACGTACTCTGTCCCGGGTGATCTGCAAGCCAAGGTATCTGCGTAGCTCACCCAGGTCTGTGCACGTGTGTCTCTTCTGCAGCTCCGACTTCACGTGGGCGAAAGCCTTAGTGTCAGCAGTGGCAAAGACCAAGTCGTCGACGTACACGAGGATGTAGAACGGCGGCAGCGAAGAGTCAGTACGCAGAAACATCGACGAGTCAACAGTAGAAGGCACGAACCCAAGAGCCGCAAGTGTAGTCCTCAGTGTGTCGTGCCACTCACGTGGCGCCTGGCGGAGACCATAGACCGGCCGCCGGAGGCTCCACTTGGTACCAGGAGGAAACGACCCAGTGAAGCCAGGTGGGTGGCGCAGCCACATCTCCTCGTGCAGGGTGCCCTGCAAGAAAGTTGTGTTGAAGTCAAGAGAGTGAAGCTCGTAGTCACGCTGAACGGCAACGTGCAATAGCTGTCACAACATTATAGCTTATATATTTGTGTAGGCTATAGTGGGGTATCCCATAGGGGGTACAACCCAATTAGGGTTTCCTATTTGTACCCACTTCGTTCATAGTCATTTCCATTCTCGTTCTATTCTTCTCAGTAGCACCCGAAGTGTGGTCATCTTCGGGGTGGGGGAGAAGGCCTGGAAGAAGTCTACTTCCTCTCGCTGACTGAAGCCTCGAGCAACGTCACGCTCCTTGAAGACAGGCGGAGAACCTGGCGGCCGCTTCACCCTAAAAATCCACATGCCACTGACGATGTTCGCCCCAGGAGGGGGAACCTCGTCGACGTAAGTGCTAGTGGACTTCCAGGATGCCATCTCTGTGTCCATGGCTGACTGCCACTGAGAGGAGTACTCACCCGCGATCGCCTCAGCGTAAGAGCGCGGGGTCGGGATGTCTGGTGCATCCGGGTCTCCCTCAGGTGCAATCAGCATGGACACGAGATGAGGTACAGCAGCGGCAAAGCACTGAAACTCCTCCTGCCTGTCCTCAAGGACGTGCGTGCCAAGAACACACTCACCCCCGACGGACGGAGAACAGACAGACTGAGACTCAGCAACAAGACTCGCTGCGTAGTCCTGACGACAGTGAGCAGCAAAGTCGACAAGCTCAGCAACTAAGGCAGACGCTGCAGTGGACATAAAGGAAGGGTCAGTGACAGCCATGGCCACGAGACGCGTGACAGTAGGACTAGCAGCACGAAGAGAGTCAGAATCTGGGTCAGCAAGGGCAGGAAGAGAGGACGCGGGAGGAGAAAGCAGAGGGACACGCGGTGGAGCAGTGGAAGGACGAAGCGTCATCTGGTGAGTGCCTAGGACAGCAGGAGGATGCTGACGTGGGACAGGACGACCAGTGCGAGCAGCACGAACATGTGACGCAGAACGGCGAGACAGGACGAGACTCAGGCTCACGACGCTCCGTAAGACCTCCTGTCGGACCAGTGTAGGGAGAAGGACCAGGTAGTGGCGAGGCAGGCTGTAACTGTGACTGCGACTGGACAGGCGTAGGACACTCAAAGGAGGGAGCAGGACAAGGAGGAGGCGGCTAATCAAGAACCTGTTGAAGGAGCGGAAGGAAGTACGGCCGCGGCCCAGAGATAGCACAAGAACCCCCCAGCAGCAGCTCCAACTCCTGTAGCACCACGAGCAGCTCCAGTAGTGCCAACTCCAGTACCCCCGGTAGCGCCAGCTCCAACAGCACCGTTGGCTCCAGCACCTACAGGAGGACGAGCGTCAGCACCTTTAGCTCCAGCCCCTGCAACACCAACCCCAGGGTCAGGAGCTACACCATCTCCAGTAGGCCCAGCGTCCTCGGCTCCACCGCGAGCTCCAGTAGCTTCAGCACCTCCAGATCCAGCACCAGCAGTACCTCCAGCAGCTCCAGCACCAGCAGTACCTCCAGTAGCACCAGCTCGAGAAGCTCCAGCACTAGTAGTACCTCCAGCAAAACCAGGGCCTCCAGAAGGCGACACCCCAGCGCTAGGAGCACCGCTCCGGAGGCTGCAGCGGCGAGAGTACCACTCACGCAGCTGCTGTGAAGAGGGAGCGCCACCAGGCGCAGCACGGTCAGTCTCAGCTCCCCCAGGCTCAGCACCCTTAGTCTCAGCACCCCAAGGCTCAGTACCCCCAGACTCAGCACCCCCAATCTCAGCACCCCCAGGCTCAGCACCCCAAGGCTCAGCACCCCAGTCTGAGCACCCCCAGGCTCAGCACCCCCAGTCTCAGCACCCCCAGTCTCTGCACCCCCAATCTCAGGATAAGAGTCGACAACTACCTCGACAGGCTCGACCGGGTCTACCTGGGAAACACCTGAGGGAGCAGGACCCTAGGGAGGGAGGGGGTCTACCGAAGCGACACCTGGGGTGAGGAAGAGAGGCGGGGGAGGAAGCAGCGCAGTGCATTAGGGGAACAGACGGTAAAAGGGTACCGACTCGTCAAAACTGACGTCCTGAGAGGGGAAGACACGGCGCGAGGTGGGGTGGTAAAACTGCCAGCCAGGCGCGTCAGGGACAAAGCCAAGGAAGACACAGGGAACGACACGGGAGGAGAGCTTGTCCGCGGACATATCGCGGACAAAGGCTCGACATCCCCAGACCCGGAACACAGACGCATCGCCAGCCTCCCCGACCAACGCTGTGTGGGCGAGGTCTCCGAAGCAGAGACACGGGGCCAGGGGTTGAGCTGATGCGCAGCGTACTGCACTACAAACGACCACAGGAAATGGGGGGCAGCCGCATGGATCATGGAGGTACGAGCGACCGCGCCAATGCAGCGCTCAGCAACCCCATTCTGCTGTGGAGAGGCTGGAAGCGTGAAGGTCTGGCTAATGCCATGCTCCGCACAGTGGGCTGCCAAGAGGTCGGAGAAAAACTCACCACCCCTGTCAGAGTGCAGACGCAGGACAGGATAGTCCGACTAGAACCGCTTGCGGAGCTGGAGACGAGCAGCGCGGATCCAAGGGATCAAAACATCAGGGACCTCACCCTTGGTGCGCAAGGGGAAGACCGTGGTATAGCGCGTGTAGTCGTCGACGACCAGCAGGAAGTACCGCTCGTGGCCTTGTCCACGGACGCGGGCTGGGCCCCACACGTCTAGGTGGAGAGTCTGCAGGGGAGCCTCTGTGGGAGGGAACGAGGAGGAGTGAGGAGTGGTGCGGTACTGCCCCTCGACACAGGGAAGACAAGGAGGAGCAGGCGAGGGTGGGAGGAGAGGGAGAACCCTGGGAAGACCAAAGACAAGGTACCGGGAGTTCATGCCACGGAGGCGCTGCACTGAGGGGTGACCAAGGCGGTGGTGTACAAGGCTACAGCAACCTTGTTGACGCTGGTGCTTGGTTGCTCCGCGTGTCGTTGTTTCTGTATATAATTATGATTTCTTGAACCGGCCTTGTTGTTTTCTGTTTGTGCACTGGGTGTTTGGTGACTTTGAGATCCATCCTGAGCTTTGTTTTGTTGTTTTTATTGACTGGTCTGGTGACCGCTCTTCTTCTTGCTTGTTTTGATGCACCTCACTTAGCCTATGTGCGTGTGTCAAATGTCATAATATATTGTTGGGCTGCAGTGAGCAGCATTGTGGGGAGTACAACATATTTTTAGGGCTGCTATTTATACTGCTCCCATCCATAATGCACTCATTCCGGTGTTACAATGTGATAACGTCGTACATAAACCTACCAATTATACTGTGTCGGAAAGCAAGAATAACTACTCAGGGGCATACAGTATTGTTCAATTTGCACCTTTTACAGAGTAACCCAACCTAGCCTAACATATGCACGTACAAATATGGAGGGTATTAATTCACAATATGTGAAATCCTAGGTACCCTGTAAAAATTACAGCAATAGAAAGCGCATGTGTTACATAAAATAGGAAATTTTCTTTGGAACATTCTATACAGACCATCGGGCTGTTTTTTACTACTGCTGTTATCGACTCCTTTGATTGTTGCTATGTCGCATATGCTCCGCCGATATGGCTGCCCTCACCTCCAAACCAAACCTAACTCGTCAAAACCGTGAGGTTGGGGGTACATTATTCAGCGCGGTGCTGCTGGTTTCAGAGGAGCGCTGTGCTTCTTGACAAAACCTTCTACAGGCTCGGGACCTTGTTGGAACCTGCGCTGCTTTGGTGCTTTCACGCCAAGCCGTGAAGATTTCGGTTCGGAGTTCATTCGGGCATGCTTTGGCTGTGTTGTAGTGCAGTCCACACGACCCACATCCGAGGCTCGCGTCATCCTGAAGTCGCATTCTCACCCATCATTCTTGCCTACCCTCGCCCCGCTCCCCGCCAAATTCGCGTTAGCATCTTATCCTCCAATTAGTCCGAGTCCCGGCCGTATTTCTCGCAGCCATGCGCATCCACGCCCTCGCCTCCCAGTATCACGCCCCTGCTTCCCATCCCCTCGTTCAACCCAGTCTACAAATAGAGCCCTTCGATACTTACACCCGTCAACTCCTCGTGACCTCCTCGTCTTCTCGTTTGTGCACAGCACGCTCCGTCTTTTCATCGCCGCCTACCGGTGACTAAAATCTGTTTGAAGCTGATTTTGAGAATTCTCATCTACCCCGTGACTCATTCTCATCTACCCCGTGACTCATTCTCCCTGCGTGGATGGCGCCATCTCTCCCCAGCTCTCCCCCGCGTGCCGGCGCGAGTTCGAGCGCGAGGCGGCGCGCGATAGTGTTTTACGACGTCGAGACGACCGTGCCGGCCGCGCGAGGCGAGAAGCACGCGATGCTCGAATTTGCCGCTGTTGAGCTCGAAATCGAGGGTTTCTACGAAACTTCGAGCTACTCCACGTACCTGCGGCCGCCGGAGGGAGTCCGTATTTCGCGACGGACGGTGGAGATCAACGGGATCACGAGCGACACGGTGCGCAACGCGCCGAGCTTTGGCGAAGTGGCGGATAGGATTTACGAGCTCATGGACGGTACGCCTCGATGACGTCACCTCTTACATCGCTTTCCTACCCTGGCTTGCTCGCAGTCACTTTCATCGCGATCTCTCATTCCCGCTCCCCTCCCCACCGCCTCTTGCTGTTTTTCTACGGCGTGAGCCACATGATTAGGCATCTCAAGGTCGCCGTCGCCTCGCGTCATCCCTTATTTAATAAGATTGGGATCCCCTTACCGTCGTGCTCCATGTCTCTCCTCCCCGTGCTCGGTTGGGCACCAGGCAAGGTGTGGGCGGGCCACAACATCAGCCGGTTTGACAACGCGCGCATCCGAGAGGCCTTCAGCAGCCTGGGCCGAGCGCCGCCTGTGCCGGCTGGCGTGGTGGACACGTACGACCTGCTGAGGAGAGAGTTCGGCACGCGAGCTGGCAACATGAAGGTGTGCTGTGTGATGTGCGAATGAGAAGCGCCAACATGTTACATGACTGGGAGGCGGTGGAATCATGAATAAGAGCGAGGGTGGGGTGGCAAGGGCAGTGGATGGAGGCCATGCTAGCATATCTCCAGGCTGTTCCTTCCAGCTGGGGTGGTGGCCTCGTAGACCTGCTGAGCAGGGAGTTGGGCATGTGGGCTGGCGACATGGAGGTGGCATGGAGGTGACGGGTGCTGCTGTGTTGTGGGTCGTGTGGTGTGCGAATAAGAGGTGGTAGCATGAACGATGAAGGTAAGGGTGGTGTGGTAAGGGCTGTAACAGGAGCACATGTTACATGTGGCATGGTCCCACGCATGCCTTCGCCCAGCGTAGTGGACACATACGACCTGCTCGGGCAGGAGTTAGGTACTCAAGCAGGCAGCAAGGTGGTATGGGCAGGGCAGTACATGGTGGCGAGGCGAGGCGAGGCGAGGCGAGGCGAGTCGAGGTGAGTCGAGGTGAGGCTAGGGCAAATGTGTGGTGCTTGGCGAGGAGGGAGTTGGGCGCCAGGCGGGGTGGCATGAATGTGAGGACTGGCAGGGCAATGGGCGAATGTCGTGTGGGCGAATGTGAGGACAGGCAAGGCTCGCCCGTGCCTGCGTGTGAGGAGTGTGCGTGGTGACAAGGGAGGTGGGTACAAGGGCGGGTGATTCCAAGGTATGGATCTCACACACGCACAAGCAGGCGGCGAGGGTAAGGGTTGGTAGGCGCAGCGCATGGAGTGGTGGCCACGTGGGCATGTGGGCTCGTGACATGGAGTTGGGCATGTGGGCTGGCGACATGGAGGTCACATGCAGGTGACGGGTGCTGCTGTGTCGTGGGTCGTGTGCTGTGCTGTGCGAGTGAGAGGTGGTAGCATGAAGGATAAAGGTAAGGGTGGAGTGGTAAGCGCGGTAACAGGAGCGCATGTTGGCATGGCACATGGTCCCGCCCATGCCGTCCGGCCAGAGTAGTAGACACGTACGACCTGCCCGGGCAGGACTTGGGCAATCGAGCAGGCAGCGAGGTGGTATGGGCAGGGCAGTAGATGGTGGCGAGGCCAGTAGATGGTGGCGAAGCTAGGGTGCATGTGCGCGCCTGTGCTGCCTGGCGAGTAGGGAGTTGGGCGGCGGCAGGCGGGGCAGCATAGCATGAGTGAGGACTGGGGCAGTGGACGAATGTGGTGTGAGGGTTGGACAAGGATCGCCACTGCCTGCGTTTGATGAGTGTGTGTGATGAAAGGTGAGCTCGGCACAGGGGCGGGTGATTCCAAGGTATGGATCTCACACACGCACAAGCAGGTGGCGAGGGTAAGGGTTGGTAGGCGCAGCTAGTGACTGGTGGAGTGGTGGCCACGTGTGCCCTGTTACCGGGAGAAGAGGGACGGGGAGGGATACAGGTGGCAAGGGAGGCGTCAGGGCTGGTGATTGCAATCGCACTGCTTCTTTCTCGTCAAGGTCCTCCGGCCTTCCTTTCACCATCTTCCTCCGATCATGTTGTCCTCATCAATCTTCTTAATGCACTCCTCCTCCTCCATGCCATCTGTTCGTTCCCTCCCCTTCATCCCAAAAGATGGCATCGCTGGGAGCCTACTGCGGCCTGGGCATGCAAGTGCACAGGTGGGCCCTGAGTCAAGCTGAGTCAGCCGTGAGATGGGTTGAGTCAAGCTGAGTCAGCCTTGAGATGGGTTGAGTCAAGGTGAGTCAGCCGTGGGATGTCAAGCACGGAGGTGGGATTCACTTTTCGAGTCGGGAGTTGTGAGTCATGAGCTGTGAGTGGGGAGTGAGCTCAAGACCTGAGGGAGAGGCTCAAGTAGTGCGAGTTGACCTCAAGGTGCTGCTGCTCCTGTCAGTTTGCGTATAGCCCTACTCGTGGCTCTTGCTGTTGACTACGTTGACTTCGCTTACTGCGTTGACTGTTTGACCCTGTTGCATGTTGACTGCGTTGACTCTGTTGGCTGTGTTGACGTGATGTCTATATCGACTGCATGGCATGGCAGGGCGATGGAGGACGTGAGGATGAACATTGACGTCTTCAAGCAGTGCTCCGCCATGCTCATGCTGGTGAGCTGCCCTTGCTGTGCCATCGCCCATGCTCGCATGCACACTTGCTGCCTTTCTCACATACACTACCACATGTCGTTTTTGTAACATAAGGAGCAGTAGAATAATTGTGGTCCAATCGTTTCGCAACTTACAATTATGTAATGTTTTAGGATTAACCGTGGTCCTATGGTCTAGTGGTTATGACGTCAGACTCTGAATCTGAAAGGCCGAGTTCAATTCTCGGTAGGACCTTCTTTTTTGGGGCCTGCCAGAGTCCAAAACGTCACTTCGAAATGTTTAAGGTTGACGTGTGAGCAAAATAAGAAGGCAGTTTTCTGTGGAATTTCTTGGAGGAATGTTGTGAGAAATACATGGGTCTAAGTATGTCTTGCATACTCTTTCCCTGCATCACATCGTCACCTTTACCTCCTCCATCCCACTTTCTCCCCTTTCATCCACCTCTCCCCTTTCATCCATCTCTCCCCTTTCATCCACCTCTCCCCTTTCATCCATCTCTCCCCTTTCATCCACCTCTCCCCTTTCATCCATCTCTCCCCTTTCATCCACCTCTCCCCTTTCATCCATCTCTCCCCTTTCATCCACTCGTCGTATGCAGGAAATGTGTCACCCTACTCTCTTCCACGCGCCCTCTACCCCGCCTCGCAGCAAGACACCCCCACGACACACCGCCACCGCTGATGCGACTGCAGCTGTGAAGGCAGCAGCTGCTTCAGCAGCCAACGCAGTGGCAGCAGCAACACCAGCAACACAGAAACCAGCAGCAGCTGCTTCAGCAGCCAACGCAGTGGCAGCAGCAACACCAGCAACACAGAAACCAGCAGCAGCAAAGAACGCCTCACCAGCAGTCTCATCCCTAGCAGGAGCAGCAACAGCAACAGCAAAATCAGCAGCAGGTGTATCCTCATCCAGTGCTCAATCTCCTGCTGTTAGTGCCGCTGCGTCATCGGCTGTGGTGGTGTCTGCCACGTCAGCTTTGCTAAGTCGGGCGTTAGAGTCCTTGAAGATTGACTCTTCTGCCACGTGTCAGAATCTGGTTACTGGTGCCAGCCAAGCCAAGTCGGAGGAGGGAGATGCTGAGGGGGAACTTGAGGATGGGGAGGTGGTGGGGAAGGAGGAGGAAGAGGAGGAAGAGGAGAAAGAGGAGGAAGAGGAGAAAGAGGAGGAAGAGGAGGAAGAGGAGGAAGAGGAGGAATGGGAGGAATGGGAGGAATGTGATTATAAGGAAGCAAGATTCCACAAGAAAGACAAGCACACAGAGAGCATTCCTTTAAGCAAGGGAGAGGGCAAAGAGGACGGCGAGGCACAGGGGGAGGGGGGGAGGGAGGAGCAGCCGGGGGAAAGGCAGGCAGGTGTCGAGTGCGTGGTGTGTCCGCAGTGGTGGCAGCAGCAGCAGGAGCAGCACGCCAAGGAGGGCGGCCCCTGGGCCATCACTTGCGCTCACTTCGACCCCTTCTGGCTGCAGGCACTGTGCGTGCCTGCTGCTGCTGCTGGTAGTGGTGCTGCAGGCGGAAATGCAGGGAACCGCAGCAGCAGAGGCAGCAGGGGCAGCGGGTGGGGAGGGGGCAGGCGGTACAGCTTGAGGGGAGGGATTGCTCGGGTGTACCCGAATGGCCTCACGCCACAGCCACCATCTGATGCTCATGATGCCGGTGCTGCAGTGGAGGGTACGCCGGCGCGTGTGCTGCTGTTGTACAATGGGCGGTCACTGCACGTGAGGGAGTGTGGAGCGAGGATCAAGATGAGGTGCGTGGTTCAATTTAAGTGCTCACGAGTGTTGATGTCTGGGGTTCATTGGAATGAAGAAATTCTCTAGACTGAGGCATGATGACGTGTGTTGACCATGAGACAAGCTGTCTTTCGATGGGACGATGACGCTAAGGTCGTGGCAGTGAGGGCACTTGTGACGAGGTTGCGCTGAAACGATGAGGGGATTTGAGCACGGTGAGTGGGAGTGTGCCTGGTGGATGCTGAACGAGCTCGATAAGAGCATACGATTTTAACAACTTTGTTCTTTCCCTCCTCGCGGCCTCTCCGGTGCATTCCTATATTCCTTTGCCTCTTCCGACATGCACCGAAACCTGCTTTTCCTCTTCTGGCCTTGTAGTGGTGCCTGTCAACTTTAGACTTCTCAATCTTCCACATGCTCATCTCCTGTCCTGCCTAATGCACAAATCCCCTCGCCTCGCGTCCTCTCTCCACCTCTCTCCCCTCCCCTCCCCCACCAGTGTGTCGTACTGCTTTGGATCTGATGAGGCGACGGGCTGCCCGTCCTTCTCCCCTCTCCCCCTCTCTTGCCCATCTCCACATTCCCCGCCCTCTCCCCCCCTCCCCTCCCCCCACCAGTGTGGTACCGCTTTGGATATGTCGAGGCGACTGGCAGCCTGTCCTTCTCCCTCCATCCCCACCTCCTGCCTATCTCCCCCCTCTTCACCCGCCTTCCAATCTTCCCCTCTTCCCCCTCTCAAATGGTCCGTTGTATTAATTCAGCAGGGGTACAGATATGCAGTTCTATCCATGATAACCTCGATCCCATAAGCCCATCAACTCACACCTCATCCCCCCCCCCCTCCCCCCCTCAGCCCCCGAGAGAGAGAGAGGCGGTCCGACACCCACTTCTCTCTCTTTCCTCCCCTCTCCCCCGCTAGTGTGTCGGACCATTTTGCCTTTGACGAGGCAACAGGCTGGCCGTCCTTCACCCCTCTCGCCCTCTCCCCCTGTCTCATCCGTCCTCCTTACCAGTGTGTCGGACCGCTTTGCCTTTGATGAGGCATCAGGGCGCCCGTCCTTCTCTTTGCTCCTCGCCGTCTCGCCCGCCGCGGCTGCCGCCATCACTGCTTGCTTCGACGCACTGCTGGCATGCGTGGGGAGTGGCAGCAGCAGTGGGGGGGATTGCAAGGAGGCAGCAGCAGCAGCAGGGGTAAAGGGCGCGGAAGAAGAGGAGAGGCGTGGTGGGTGCAGGGAGGAGGTGCGGTCGCCCTTTGTGGCGGCATGGGAGGACGAGGATGGCACGAGAGTGATCCGCGTCAAGTGAGTCTAGTCTGGTGCTTTGGCGTCATCATGGTCTGGCTCTTGATGAACTGTGTGCCTTTTAACCGTTATTCTAAACGAACCGCTTCCACCTCCGTGCTATTGCTCACACAATTGCACTCCCCCCCTTCAATTTCCTGCAATATTCTCCCTCTACCTCTTCCCCCTCCCTCCCCCCCTCCTCCTCCCTGTTTTAACTCATTCCCCACCGCATCTTGCCAGGCTGGCAGCTGATGGCGTGAGGGGGAATGCTGAGTGGCGCACCAAGTTCTTCTCCTGTGCTGCACCGCACACAACCGCTCTCAACCCAGCCAATGTCAGCACCGGCTCTCCCACAGGCGCCACCAGCAACGACAGCAAGCAGCAGTCACCCGCATCGCAGCAGCTTCACCCTGTGGACCCGCAGCAGCTGCACCTGCCCGTTGACCCACACATGGTGGCCGCGGCTCTACCAGCAGGGGCGGTGGTGGACGTGGCCTTCCTCGTCGACTCCTACTGTGTCAATGGCACCAGGGGGCTGCGCTTCGTGGCAGATGTGATTGTAGTGAGGGGGTGAGCGCACTGGTGTTGCCTGCATCAGCCGATGGGGAACAGACCGGCCCCACACATGGCGCGTGCATGAGCTAGAGGTGGACGTGACACAGGAATTGCTTGCCCGCCCTCTCCCTCTCGAGTCACGACCCCCACTGCATGGCCTTCCATTTCCCTCCTGCTGTCGCCACTGTAGGCGTGGCTTGTCGGGGTGATGCTCTCTGTGTGTAGGGGGTTGGAGAAATGGTAAAGGACTTGCTGTAGGCTTATAGCAGATGTGATTATAGCGAGGGCCATGGAGCCCTGGAGGCAAATGATGGAGGCTAGGGATTCTGGAAAGGCATGATAGATTAGAAATATATATTGGAAAAATGACATATTTCTATTGCTCTTGAACCTTCAGCTGTTGCATTCACCACATGCCCTGCCCATCTCGCCCACTTATAGCTTTCGATCGCACTGCCTGCCTGTCTTCACGCATGCCCTTTCACTACAATCCCTACCACACGCCCCTCACTAGAATCACGTCATCCTTTCCCAGCAGTTGCAGCACCCCTTCAAGCTCTGAGCACCTGGGCACACCGACCTTCACCAGACGGGATAAACTGCCCAGGCCCGTTCGTGTGCAGCGATGTGCTGTGCAGCCTTGAAGAATGTTTGTTGGGGGATGGAACGAGGGAAAGGGAGGAGGGAGAGGGAGGAGGGGAGGTGGCGCAGGCAAGGCAAATGGACAAGCTCCATAAGGGAGGGCGAAAAAGGAAGCTGGGCGGAGGTACTGTACTGAGCACTCATGCCGACCGGACACGGAGCTCTATCGCACTAAGATCTATGCAATGCTATGGCAACACCAGTAACTGCCACGTATTCTGCTGGTCCTTTCCACCGTTGCACTGTGCACCCTTGCATCGCGCTTTCAGTGCAGATGTGTCATGGTGCGGTGTCAGATGGGCACGTACACTCAGTTTAGTGTGAAACTACAAACACAAAATTAAACAGCAAACATCCAACAGGTGCAATTTGAAGCAAAAAGGTCTCGGCTTAATGCCAAATTCGCCACATGCTCTAGAGATCCATGGGTAGTGGTAGTGACGGGCACGCCAACTTCTAGGCAACACAACTAGCAAACTGCTGCATGGAAGTAGGTTGGCATGCAGAGCAGGATGAACTTGGCTCTGTGCACCTGTCGAATCGGGAATGCAGAGAAGGAGAGGTGATGACAGGCAGGGAAAGACAAGGAAGATGAAGGCTGAAAAAGAGGCTACGCATCATGCTGCCTGAAATGACGCACAGTTATGAGGATGGCAATTGTGACCGGTCAAAGGGATGAGGGTAGGATCAATGGATGACGCCAGTGAGGGTAAAGGAAAAAGGGCAAGGCATAATAAATGGTAGCTTGGAAGATAAGCGGGGGAACCAACCTCTGTCCCCACTCACCTGCACCATGTGTGCATGTGTGCCCCACCCACCTGCACCCCACCCACCTGCACCGCGGCCACAACGGCCTCATTCAGCAGCAAGCGAGTCCTCCAGCCGAGTCAGCTGCACCAGATCCGCACGTGGGTGAGGCTCTTCGGGAGGTGCTGCAAGGCGGTGCAGCGAATCAACTCCACTTTGCGCAGCTGGGACAAGCAGCTCACGTCCTCAGGTAGTGAAGTGAGCTGTGGTGCATGGACGGTCAATGACGTCAGCTTTGAGAGCTCTAGTATGACGCGTGGCAGCTCTTCCGGCGCCCATGAAAGAAGCTTCAGCTGCCGTAGCTCTGGCAACGCTGCTGCCATGTTTACCGGGAGGCTGCGGATTCCCGGCGCGTCTATGAGCAAGCTGCGCAGGCGAGGAAGAACATTTGAGGGAAGCAGGAACTCCTGACGCATTCCTTCGAGACGCATCTCGAGCTCCTCTAACTGATTCAGGCGCGCCTGGCTTACTCCTTCAAACTCCTGCTCCAGCTGCTGAATCGGCCCCTGCTGTCCCAGGACCAACAACCTCTCGGCCGCTGCATGCCCACATACAACCCCAACGCACTTCAGCTTCAGCACCCTCAGCTGTGACAGCTTGGAAATATCCACAACAAGGGAAGAGCCTTCCCGGAAGGGCCCCAAGCAGAGAGTCTCAAGAGAGGGGGGCAGACCCGCAGGGGCTTCGCTCAGCTGCGGACATCCCATCAGCTCCAGCCGCTTCAGCCCCATGAGCGCATCCAGCCCCATGGGTGCTTCCGAGAGCGCGTTGCAGTTTCTGACCTCGAGGGTGTGAAGTGCAGTGAGCCGTGTTAGAGAGCCAGGAAGCTGACTGACTGCAAGCTGAACGATCTTCAGCTCCTGTAGACTGCTCAGCTCCCCCAAGGCTTCTGGAAGCTCGGCTGGCCAGCATTTATTCAGGTCAAGGCTTGTGAGGGAGGAGAGGGTGGTGAAGTAAGCCGGAAACCGGCAGCCACGCAACCTGAGAGCCTCCAAGCTGCCAAGGCCCCCAACATTCTCTGGCAAGGCAAGACCCTGATCTGATTCTGAGAAGCAGAGCACCTTGAGAGCCGTGAGACACAAGGCATCTGCTGGCACCTGCCAAAACTCCCTGCACTCAATTATGAAGAGTGCTTCCAGAGTCGTAAGATGAGAGAATGAAGGCGGGAGTGCGGTTAAAGGCAGATGCTCCAGCACCAGGAGTTTTAAAGCGGGCAGGTGATCGAAGCTGCTGGGTAAGGCATGAAATTCGTAACAACCTGAGATGATGAGAGTTTCCAGGCTCAGAAGAGTGACGGTTTCAGGCAGGTGAGTGAAATCACCGCATTCGCGAACCGTCAGCTTGCGAAGGCACGGCATAAATTCTCCGATGCAGTCTGGAAGTGTTTCTAACCCTCTGCAGCTGGTGATGAGCAGCTCCTCTAGCCCCGCGAACTGCCATGCTGATGAGAAGACCATGGCGTCCTCATAAGGACAGTTCGTTAAGAACTCGAGAGATTTAATGCACGACGGCAGCGGCACGCTTGCGGCACACGTCGGCTGATGGTTAGAGCGCGGGGTGAAGGTGATCCAAGATGCCAAAATGGAAAAATGCGATTGGAACGACAAGGCGTAAAAAGGAATCGGAGGATTAGGAGGTACTAGTACTTGGGAAGAAATCGGCCAGATCCCTCCGAGAACCCCCCTTTGCCGCTGCGGGATTTCTCTCGCGGTATTTCTTTTTTCCCGCAGTCGCGTACCGGGCGGGGGCACGCGAGGGCAGGGAGGCAGCCACTCCGCTCGCCCGAAATGAGCCCCGCCAGCTCGGAGTGACGTGAGATGGTCCCTCCCCGCTCGAGCTGGCGTTGACCCCACGTGCTCCCCCCTCACCCCCTTCTCCCGTCGAGATAATCCGTCTCCGTCGACGGATTCCGTCTCGACTCGACGGAAATGAAGCAGAAAACGATAAGGCTGAAACACGCCATTGCGTGATTTCCTACAGAGCACAGCTGCCTTCGAAATATAAACGTGTATGTAAAAATGTAAACTTAAGCAGCAATAGGGAGACTCAATGAGAAATTAAAGGGCCTGTAAAATCGGGCACGGTGTCAGAAAAATGGCCATACTAATGTAATTTTATCGCTTCACAAACAAAAACTGTCTATATTTGAATTATATTTTTGTTAAAAAAGGTTGCTTCCTATAAGGGGATGCCCAGCTCGTTCATTTATTGTTCGTTAATTTCTTCAATTACAACATCTTACGTTGTAACACTGAGTTTTACAAAAATGCCAGACACGATCAGCTCCCGTTCACGATACGCCACACCCCCTGCACGTACTTCGAATCGTGTGACGCACGTTACATGAATCAGCGTGCGCATCGAACAATGGTCCAGAAGCGCGTCCTGCCTACTACAGTGAGTGCCCATCGTATCGCACGCACGATTTTGCCAGTGCCGCCTGACACTCGCCAAAACCAGTAGTGGAAGTGCTAGCTTGGCGAAAATTCCAACGCTTTGGTTGACGAGGGAGCCAATTTACTCAGTTTCCACGCGGCCCCCGCACTGTTGAACTCTATGTGGGGGGGGAATAAGTCCGCGCGCTAGAATTGACAAAAGGGTGGACTCGACGCAGGACGCATTCGTTTATAGGTACAGTGATCAATTTTGAACCCTGAATCGTGAGGAGGTACTAAATTTCTCGAAATGAACAATCTGGACACGCCCTAATATCAAATGTTGTAGCCTGTAGTGAGGTTTGTCTTAGGGGGTACAGAAGTTAGGGTTTGTCATATGTACCCCAACCAACATCAATGGAACACTCATTCCTCATTCTGACATGGTATCAGCTAGGTTAGGATCCTGTGGGATCCCGTTCCTCCGTTCTCCGTTCGTACCTCCCGAGCCTGATCCTACCTCTCGTTCGTACCAGTTTCGTTGTTACCGCGCCTAGTACCGAGCCTAGCGCCATCTCCCCCGTCGCGTCACGCCCGTTCCCCCCCGTCGTGTCGCGCCCGTTCCCCCCGTCGCGTCGCGCCCGTTCCCCCCGTCGCGTCGCGCCCGTTCCCCCTGTCGCGTCGCGCCCGTTCCCCCCGTCGCGTCGCACCCGCCTGTTACCCCCCCCGTCCCGTCGCCCTGTCCCGTCGCGTCGCCCTGCCCTGTCCCGTCGCCCTGTCCCGTCGCGTCGCCCTACCCCGTCGCGTCGCCCTGCCCTGTCCCGTCGCCCTGCTCCGTCGCGCCGCCCTGCCCCGTCGCGTCGCCCTGTCCCGTCGCGTCGCCCTGCCCCGTCGCGTCGCTCCCGCCCTTTCCCCCGTCACGTCGCCCTCCCTAGGCCCTGGCCCGTCGCCCTCCCTAGGCCCTGGCCCGTCGCCCTCCCTAGGCCCTGGCCCGTCGCCCTTCCTAGGCCCTGGCCCGTCGCCCTCCCTAGGCTCTGGCCCGTCGCCCTACCCTAGGCCCTGGCCCGTTGCCCTACCCTACGTCTTGGCCCGTCGCCCTAGCCCGCTCTTCCGCTGCGACTGAGTCCTCTTCCCCCCCGGTTGTTACTCGCCTGTTCGTTCGCGTTGGTTCTCACTATGGCGACTCCGCGAGTTCTTCGTTTCGACGCCGACGGTAGACCCCTTGACTTTTCCGTCTGGCTTCTTCGCGCTCGTCGTCTGTTAGAGAGTCAGGTCCAGGGGGGCGAGACCCTCTGGTCACACGCTACTGGTGACCTCCCCGAGCCCCCCGAGCCTACAGCTTTAGGCCCTGCTCCTGACGACGCTGCTACGGCTCGCTTTGCCCGTCAGCGCGCTGACCGGACGGCTTGGACGTCGCGTGACGCTGCGGCCTGCATCGCACTCAGCAGCCTCCTCCCTGAGTCCGAGGAGGTCCACTTTACTCAGGTTCGCACCGCTGCTGCGTACCTCACTGCGATTAAGGCCCGCTACTCTACTCCCGCTACTGTCTCTCTCGGCCGTCTTTTCCTCCCGTTCCTGTTTCCTGATCTTGCCTCGTTTGAGCGCTCTGCTGACTTGATCGCTCACCTCCGCTCGCTCGACGCTAGTTACCGCGCTGCTTGCACTGAGGCACAGCTTGCACTGCTTCCTCCCCCCATGGCGATTACTGTCTATTTCATCGCCACTAGCCTCCCTGACCGCCTTGCCTCCGTTCGTGACGCGCTTCTGCTGAAGCACCCTAGTGAGCTGACTATCGAGGTCCTTGAGTCTGCACTCAAGGACGTCGAGAGCAACCTTCGTTCGGTAGCTCCCGCCTCTGGTACTGTGTCCCCCCCACTCTTCCACGGGTGCACAGTCCCGCAGTTACCCACCTTCACTGCCTCTCTTGAAACTGCCGCTACTGACGCGACTGCGGCTGCTGTTACGACTGCGTCGCGGTCCCGCGGCAGGGGGGGCAAGAAAGGTGGTTCCGGTGGAGGTGGAGGCGGAGGTAGCGGAGGTAGTGGGGGTGCTGTTGCGACTGGCGGTGGTGGGAGTGCAGCGTCTGGAGAGACCCCTCGTGCAGCGGCTGGTGACTCCACTGCACCTGCTGGTGGCGGCGACCCTCGAGCTCGTCAGTCGCCTCCTGTACTGCCGGCCCCGCTAGGTGGAGCAGCGACGTGGTACCAGGCTCAGCGTCAGCAGCACCTTCAGCAGCAGCAGCAGCCCCTTTCCTCCCAGCAGCCTCAGCAGCAGCAGCGTCAGCAGCTGGCTCCGGGGTCGGGGCTGCGTCAGCCCCAGCGCGGTGCTGCTTACCCTCCCTGCCCCTACCAGGTTCAGACAGGTCCTCGTCGGGGCCACCCTTGTGGCCGCTTTCACCCCCCTGGTCAGTGCTTTGCTCAGCTCACTGACACGGTCTGGTTGACCTACGGGGTTGGCAGTCCTGCTCCTGACTGGCTTCCTCTGGTTCAGCGCTACGGCTCCGCTCTGTGGGGCATGTCTGCTGAGCAGTTAGTTGATCTGATTAGTGCTCCTCATGCTATGTATGCTGTTGTTGACTCTAGTGTTTCTGACTCTGTTTACTCTGGTGTTGTTAGCTTAGGTGCTAGTCTTGCTCAGTTGCCTGTTGCTAGTGTAGGTACTTGTGTAGACTCTAGACCAGCGACTACCTCAGAGGACGCTTCGCTGTCGTTCGCACTGGACTCTGGAGCCTCCCACTGCTTCTTTCGGGACAGCACGACACTTACACCACTTCCTGCGCCTGTTTCTGTAGCGTTGGCTGATCCCACTACGGGACCAGTCACTGCACATCACACTACCACTTTACCGTGTCCTGCTGCTCCCTCCGGGTCTCTCACTGGGTTTCACGTCCCCTCGTTCTCCCGGAACTTGGTGGGCGTGCGACCCCTCGTGAGTCAGCACGTGGGTGTGTGGTTTGAGCCTTCTGGAGAGACTGCGGTGTGTGTTGACGGAGACTCTTACCAGCCTCTTGCTACCTTTACTGCTGAGCCGGGCTCGGGTCTCTACACTCTTCACACTGGCCCGCGTGCGCCGCAGCAGCAGCCGCAGCAGCAGCAGCAGCCGCAACCGCAGCAGCAGCAGCAGCAGCAGCAGCAGCAGCAGCACCAGCGGCCGCACCAGCAGCCCCCCCTACTGCCACTGCCCCCGGTTCCCCCCCCCCGTTCGGGTCCCCGCGTCTCACCAGGTTGCTACGTCCCCCCAGGTGTCTGTGTCGTGTCAGGTTCCTACGTCTGTTCCAGTCGCTGCGTCGTGCTCCTGCCGGTCGCTTGCCCACCCCACCGTTCTGTGGCACCACCGGATGGGGCACCCGTCCCTTCCACGTCTGCGCGCTATGTCTAGTCAGCGTCTTGTCCTAGGCCTCCCACGTGTCTTGCCGTCGCTGCCGCCTTCGCCTGCGCCGCCGTGTCGTCCCTGCGTCGAGGGTAGGCTGCGCGCCACCCCTCACTCCTCCTCCCTTCGTCCGGCCACCGAGCCTTTTGAGACGCTTCACTTGGACGTCTGGGGCCCAGCCCCTCGTCTAGGCCCTGAGCGTGAGCGTTACTTTCTGGTGGTCGTTGACGACTTCTCCCGCTACACCACAGTGTTCCCTCTGGCGAAGAAGTCTGAGGTGACTTCTACGCTGATCAGGTGGTTGCTCACCACTGAGGACACTCGTGGTCGTCGTGTCAGCTGTCTTCACTCCGACCGTGGGGGTGAGTTTCGCTCCGGCATTCTTGCTGGATTCTGTCGCGAGCAGGGCATTCGTCAGTCCTGGACGCTTCCAGAGTCCCCACAGCAGAATGGGGTTGCTGAGCGCCGCATAGGCCTGGTCATGGAGATCGCCCGCACCTCCCTGACTCACGCCTGTGCCCCCCATTTTCTGTGGCCCTACGCGGTCAGGTACGCCGCGCACCAGCTGAACCTCTGGCCACGTGTCTCTCGACCAGAGGTTTCACCGACCAGTCTTTGGACAGGGTCCCCTGGTGTTGCGTCGCGGTTTCGTGTCTGGGGGTGCTTGGCTCTTGTCCGCGACACCTCCGCGGACAAGCTCTCGCCTCGTGCCG